TTGAAATGACTTTGAACGAAAAATATGATCAGTGAAGATTCATTTAGTCGAAATCAAACTTATTTGGAACTTGCATAATAGTTGTTGTTGCTAAGTATTAAATTTCGTAAGTAGGCTTAATGAATATGTCATCAAGTTTTGTGTGCACTTATCATATGATGCCTTGATTATCCAATTATGGATTTCAGGATTTGCTTGGAAATGAAGTGTTTGGCACTTATCTCTTGTCTCTTATACATTGACCTAACTTCGTAAGATTAATTATATTGTATTTAAATGGCTTGTAATGGAAAAGGCCAAAGGTCAATTTCAAGGCCGATTTTTGGAAGTTTTCCTTTGTCTTCTATATCAGTTGACCCTAAACCATTCTCATAATTTAGCTTAAAATCAATTAAAAGGGATTAAAAGAAAGCAGATACATGTTTAGTTTGTTAATCGTGTACCTCTCTAAAGAGTGGAAGAGATAGTTTTGATGAGAGGACAGGACCCATTGGGCGTCCATGCCTGTCCTTTGGTGGCCTTAGGATATCAGTCTAATAATTTCAAAATTGTCCATTTCAATCAAACCAAGAGAGGTTATGCTGACAAGTTGCTAATTGTTTTTTGGATTCTTGCTTTGCCATCTTGTGAACTTTGTATCCTTCCAATGTCTTGTTTTGCAGTAATTTGTTTTTTTGTATGTGCTGTTGTCATTATAGTTATTGTGAAGTCTATAATGAAATTTTGTGAGGCACTTACTTCCAGTTTTGCACGTATATATTCTCAGTGGTAGCCAGTAATATTATTCATTTTGACTATCTGATGACTTCTATGCAGCAGCTTTTTGACCTTTAGAAAGTTGATGATGAAATTCTACTATTTTAGAATGATAGTATTTGTGAGGTTGGGAGGAGTGGGCCTGATTTCTTGTCCTAATGTATTATTACTAGTATCTTTTTTTCTTATTAACAAGAACAAAGCCTTTTCTTCCCTTCTTTTCAAAGGGTAGGGGATGGGAGGATTAGCCTAATCTGTCATATTTTATTTCTCGTATATAACCATGCTACCATATATGTGGTAAAAAAATGTAAGATTTTGTATACCTTTTACTCTATCTACTAGACACTGTAATCCCAGTCTACCTCCTTCAGCAATTGTGATCTGTCCCGTTCATCCTACCTATTTCAGGCCATTGTAACCTGTCTTTGCCTAGCAAAATAATTCTAGTTCTCTCTTGGTAGGAAATTGGCTTCAACTTGAATAAAAAAATTTAAAAATGTTTACATATAAAAAGAGTATTCGCATTCTGAACCCACGAACTCTAAATTCTGAAGTTGTGTCTCCTAATTATGTAATATCTGAACTATGAAAACTTTAATATTTATTCTCCTATGCTACTTTGGGACTTCTATTGCAGGAAAATAATTGGAGCTAGGTACTATATCAAAGGTTACGAGCAATATTATGGCCCTCTAAACCGAACTCTGGATTATCTATCTCCACGAGACAAGGATGGACATGGAACTCATACATCCTCAACAGCAGGAGGCAGAAAGGTTCCAAACGTCTCTGCCATTGGTGGCTTTGCATCTGGCACCGCCTCGGGTGGCGCACCACTCGCACGGCTAGCAATGTACAAAGTCTGCTGGGCTATTCCGAAGGAGGGGAAAGAAGATGGAAACACTTGCTTTGATGAAGACATGTTAGCAGCAATGGATGATGCTATTGCAGATGGTGTTGATGTTATTAGTATTTCTATTGGAACAAAAGAACCTCAGCCCTTTGATCAAGATAGCATTGCAATTGGAGCACTTCATGCGGTGAAGAAAAACATTGTTGTATCTTGTAGTGCTGGAAATTCAGGACCTGCACCTTCTACATTGTCTAATACAGCTCCTTGGATTATCACTGTTGGTGCTAGCAGTGTTGACAGGGCATTCTTGGCACCTGTTATCCTAGGAAATGGCAAGAAATTTATGGTAAGTATCACGATAACCTATTCATTTTCTGTACACTATTTCATCTAAAATGTTGTAACACTAGGATCATAACGTTTTCCTTTATCTATTTAATTACATTCTTATTGGAATGAAACTGAATCCGTTTTTCGTTTTGTATGTTTTGCTTAATATCAGGGACAAACAGTTACACCTTACAAGCTCGAGAAGAAGATGTACCCTCTAGTTTATGCAGGACAAGTAATCAACTCTAACGTAACCAAAGATGTAGCAGGGTACTCTCCTTCCCTCGAAGTTTCAATATTTTTGATTAAAAATCATAATTTTCTTTTGGATGATTATGTTTAACACTATCTGAAACTTTTTCAAACAAAAAAATTCAGGCAATGTTTACCAGGTTCCCTTTTGCCGAAGAAGGCCAAGGGGAAGATAGTAATATGCTTGAGAGGGAACGGGACTAGAGTAGGAAAAGGCGGAGAGGTGAAAAGGGCAGGAGGAATTGGTTACATACTGGGAAATAATAAAGCAAATGGAGCTGAATTAGTAGCTGATCCTCACTTTCTTCCAGCCACTGCAGTGGATTATAAAAGTGCAGTTCAGATTCTCAATTACATCAATTCTACAAAGTCCCCAGTGGCATATATTGTCCCAGCTAAAACAGTATTGCATTCTAAACCAGCACCTTACATGGCCTCCTTCACTAGTAGAGGTCCAAGTGCAGTTGCGCCCCATATCCTCAAGGTCAGAATTTACATAACAAACTTAAGACATTTACCTGACTTATGATTTATGCTTCCTCATCTAAATTAAATTCTGATATTCGCTACTTCCACAGCCTGATATCACGGCACCAGGGCTAAATATATTGGCAGCATGGAGTGGCGGATCTTCCCCCACGAAGCTAGATATCGATGATCGTGTGGTTGAGTATAACATAATCTCAGGTACTTCCATGTCTTGCCCACATGTCGGTGGTGCCGCTGCACTTTTGAAGGCTATACATCCCACTTGGAGCAGTGCTGCAATAAGATCTGCTCTTATAACCTCAGGTACCTCTCAACTCCTTTTGAACTTAACTTATATATGCTAACAGTATTTTAACCTGTTATAACATATAACAGATATACTACTAGTTATTTTGCACGTGACCTGATAGTATAAACATTATTTACGTTGTCTCTATATAGAAGTTAAACTCTTTTTCGTCTATAATTTTGTAACCTACACTAATCAATCGAGTATATATTTCAGCTGGATTACGAAATAATGTTGGTGAGCAAATAACGGATGCATCAGGGAAGCCAGCAGATCCATTCCAATTCGGAGGAGGGCATTTCAGGCCATCAAAGGCAGCAGATCCTGGACTTGTATACGACGCTTCCTACCAAGACTATCTTCTCTTCCTTTGTGCTTCTGGTATTAAGGATCTTGACAAATCCTTCAAGTGTCCCAAGAAATCACATTTGCCTAACAGCCTAAATTACCCATCTCTAGCTATTCCTAATCTCAATGGTACTGTTACTGTTAGCAGAAGATTAACAAATGTTGGTGGGCCAAAGAGTGTGTACTTTGCCAGTGCTAAACCTCCACTGGGATTCTCTGTTGAGATTTCTCCTCCCGTCTTGTCTTTTAAGCGCGTTGGCTCGAAGAGGACGTTCACTATTACAGTGAAAGCTCGCAGTGATATGAGTGACAGTATTCCGAAAGATCAATATGTGTTTGGATGGTATTCCTGGAATGATGGAATCCATAATGTTAGGAGTCCAATTGCAGTAAAATTGGCATAAACCCTCAAACCCCAGAGCAGTATAGATATAGTGATCTGTTTTTTTTTTTTTTTTTCGGTTTTCCCTCGGTGCACATAACTTTTACTTTTGAAGCAAAGAATTCTCTATAACGCAATGCATTTCTCATTTTGAGGTTGTTGTACTCATCCCTCCAGTAGTATAATTTTTTTTTTTTGTTGGTAATAACTGAATTATTACCCATTAAACAACCAAAATTTAAAACACCTAAAGGGCACCCAGTCCCAGGCTTACAACCACCTTCTAGGGAGGGTGCTGTAGTAGTCTAGGCCGCAGAAACAGAAACAATCTAATTACATAATCTGAAAATCAAATGCCGACATCTATTGCACTCTTCCTATAGCCTCTACTCTAATTCTAATTTCCTTCTGTATCTCTGCAATAACAGCTTTGATAGTATTTTAAGAATGTACATATTAGAGGAGTAGGTATCACAGGTAAAATTTTATTTTGTGTCTCATACAACTCACACTAGTTTTATTTTATTTTGTATCTCATACACTCATACAACTCACACTAGTTGTATGAATCAACTTTTTTGTTAACACAATTTGGGTGTTGTATGAATCAACTTTTTTGTTAACACAATTTTGTGGACCCAGAAGTGTAAGATTGGGGTCCACAAATTTGTGAGATAAAAAGGAGCCTCATACAAATAGTGTAAGTTATATGAGACACAAAATAAAACTTCTCGGTATCACACCTATCTCCTTTCGTTTTTCTCCGACGGATCAATCATCTCTGTTTACTCTTCTTCATGTTTTGGTATGTTCAAATGTTCATTATTGGCAAATCATCTTGTATTTGCCCTTATCCTTGATGATAATATAGATTAAAATGGGTGGACTTCTCCAAATTCTTCCCCAAAAATGAATGCCAATTCACCTATTAACTTTTGGACGTGGTTTAAAACTATTCTTAACTTTTAAAATTCAGTCTTCAAGGTGTGCGTAAATTGACCCAACACTATAATTCTAAAAAAAATGATCCTAGTTGAACACTAGAGTTATAAAAAAAAAGGTATCCTAGTTTGGAGCTAATCAGGTCAAGAGAAAATAAAAAAAAATCCCTGTTTGGAGCTAATCAGGGTCAAGAGCAAAAACGAAAGGGTAAAATTAATCGAAATGTAACGGTAGACAAAGTTGCTAAATTTTAAATGCTACATGGGCAAATTCGGCCCTTCTCCCAATATGATGCGAAAAAACTTAAAGAACTGTGTATATACAGACATAATAAATAGTTGAAAGGAAGGTCTATCTACATGAAAAGGATGACATAATACTTCAAACAATTAATAGTTGAAAGGAAGGTCTCTGTACATGAAATTTAGATACAACTATGTTAAAACATAGACGAAACAACACCTCCATAACCAAGCATCCTATCAAGAAACCCAAAACAATACAACGGCCCATCCACTATAAGGTGTAGTTTGCTAGCCTTGCTTTCGCAAAAGACACAATCTCACTAGGGATATATCAATACAAGTATGGCAAGGTCGATTTTCTCTGACATGAATATGTTCCAATATATGTACAATATCAACCAACTACATACCAGTCTTCCCCACCAATGCAAGGCATAGAAACAAAACAAACGCTGCAGAGAAAAGACTGCAGGCATCTGATCAAGACTTTAACCAATACCACTTGATAAGTGTTCTCTTAATAGCTTTATTCATTTCGTGTCTCTTCTCACTCTTGCTCTTTCACCGTTGAAATGGACATATTTCCATTTGCTTTGATACCTTTGGACAACCAATTTATGCTTATCTTCTTGGCCCAACATTTGGAAGGCTCTTGCAACTCTTCTGACTGTATCTTCATCGGGTTTTACCCCTAACTCCTCCATGTCTGCGAACACCTGAAATTTCAAGGAGCCTTCAAAAAACAGCATCAAACTTTCAAGAGTAGAGGAAATACTATGAAAAGAGAGAATAGTACATGGCATCAGGCTGCTCTGAAGGTAAGGAACTAAACAACCAGTTATACTTGCACTAATTAGGAAGCATGCAAACGAGTTTCATTTACCTCAACTATCTTCTCTGGCACATGATGATGATCATACAATGAAATCATCCTGGAAAAGAGCCGTTTTGAGACAGACCGTGTGCTTGTATGCAAAATCATATTCCATAATGTTTCTGCTTCATCTACCCTTTTGTCCATATCAAATGCCAGTAGAAGTGTATCATAGGTTGCCATTGTTGCTCCTTGACCTTTGCTCAACATCCACTTAGCAACCTACGCATAGAGTGATAGAGATCAAGCATTATTTGTTGAAAGATATGGCCATTCCGAAAGACTTGAGTACCCAGTCAAACTAGTCACCACGATATGTCTAACAATTAAGACTAGCATAAACTCAACCACAAGGACTTCTCATTTCTACCAAGCGGAGTTAGTATGTCCTGACAATCGAGAGGAGTTAAAGTAAATCTCGGCATCAAGTTCAATTCTACTTACATGAAGCTGGTAGTCAATACATTCGAGTAATACTTGTAGACTTGGTAATGTACCACAACTACATCAAGGTGGATCGCAAAAAGAGTTGATGCTGATTGTGTAGTGACAAGAGATAAATAACATTTCCACACAACTGAGAAAATTAAGAGTGCAACAGCATCAGAGTTCTTAGTCTTGAAACTTCAAGAGGAAATGGTAAAAGGAAAGAAACTGAAACAGAACCCTTTTGTTCTTAGTCAATTCAATAAGTGGTTGAATGTGATATAAGCAAAGGCTTCAAATGTCATAGCTTGTTGAAAAGTGATATTTATCACTGCAAAGCTTCATAATTTATCAAGACAAGATGCTATCCAACATAGGCCATTTCCCATGCTAAAAATAATAAATAAAGTTCTCATGCATCGTACTTGAATTACTCGTTTCCACATCCGCTGTTGCCTTAAGATTCTTAGAGCCTTAGCAGCTGCAATCAACGGAAACTCTGTCTCCCATGCAATCCATTTATCTAATGCACGATAAACAGACTCTTTCTCATTTGGAAGTCCAGAAATCTATCCATTTACAGATCAAAAAGAAAACAGAAGGCAACGTTAAAAATAGGCCTACTTCAGGTATAAGAGAAAATATACCTTTCAGCATGGTACTATAATTTGACAAAACTTACAAGCCGAACAAGATTGAGTGCTTTTTGCCCAGATCCAGCGGATTCCCTTTTCTTCCATAAGTGATGTTCTACTTTTCCAGCCTTCTGAACTTTCCTGCATCCACGCCCATAATAATTAAAGAAGAAAAAAATTAGAGAAGATTAAAAAAAACATTTAACATGAAATTCAGCTTGAGATAATACTCTATAGAATATACCCAACTACTTCAAGAAAAGAAGTAATCCACTATCAAATATAACTCATATGATTCAGTTTTCAAACAAATGTGTTAATGGGGTAGTGTTAAATTGTTACTTACTTCTGATCAGCAACATGAGAGATAGTGAGAGATAGCTCTTCCTGCTTCTGGGAGTGTTTAATGGCAGAGGTTATATTTAACTGCAATCATAGTAGAACCAAACCTTAGCCACTTAATAAAAATCTGCACCAAAAAGGCAAAGCGAAAAAAATAAAAAAAGTTTCTCATTCCAACCTTTTTCGATAAGCGGGTTGAGTTAATTCCCTTTAGCAAAAGGTTGCAGTTGACGAACTCAATTTGTAGAGAAGCTCCCATTCTAACACAGCAGTCCTAAAGATCAAATCTTGCCAAATATCTACAACAGCGACCCTAATAACTAAGAAGGGTTCTTAAGAGGCAAAGTAGAAAATTAGGAACAAAAAAAACAATAATTTTTTACCTGACTTATCTGTAGGACAAAAAAATAAAAATAAAATGTATTACCTGTTTCTGCAAGAGTGATGGATAATAACTGAGAACTGAAAAAACAATTAAGTTTCTTTCCAGCTTCCTTCAGTGATTAGTTTCATCGTAAAAGGGATTAGAGAAAAATGAGAAACATACACTTCTATTTCGTTGTAGAAACTGAAAGGAAGTGAGTTCGTCGGAGAAAGAAAAATGGGTGGAATTGGCGGGTCGGAATGAATTGGGTTTGAGATCCGAATTTGAAATGTTGGGAAGTGCACAGTTAGCCGGTAATAAGACATGTATTTACTTTTAAGCCACTGTTTAAAATGTCTTTAATCTTTAGCCACGGCTTTAATAAACTTTTACCCGTCCGGACGAAAATACCCTTTTGCTCATAAAGTTCAAGACCAAGTGTCCTTAACTTATGAGCTTGTTACTGTAAGTTCGGGACTAGTTGTCCTTAATTTATGAGCTTGTAAGTCTAAGTTTAGGACTACCTGTCCTTAACTTTTGAACTTGTAACTCTAAGTTCAGGACTACATGTTCTTAACTTTTGAACTTGGAACTCGAAGTTAAGGACTACATGTTCTTAATTTTTGTGCTTGTAACTCTAAGTTAAGGACCAAGTGTCCTTAATTTTTGAACTTTCAACTCTAAGTTCAGGACCAAGTGTCCTTAACTTATGAGCTTGTTACTGTAAGTTCAGGAGTAGTTGTCCTTACTTTATGAGCTTGTAAGTCTAAGTTAAGGACTACCTGCCCTTAGTTTTTGAGCTTGTAACTCTAAGTTTAGGACTACCTGTCCTTAACTTTTGAACTTGTAACTCTAAGTTCAGGACTACATGTCCTTAACTTTTGAACTTGGAACTCGAAGTTAAGGACTTTAAACTTGTCTTCATTAGAAATTCATCCTCCGCTTTCAAAGTTTGGGTTGACAATGTTTTGGACAAAGTAGTTGCCTTGGTTGCCTCTTTGAAGACGAGGTTCAATTGCGCCGGAGGGAAAGTTTGTAAATCTAGTCGAGAAGTTATTGGAACAAAAGAAAACTACATTTCACAGGGTTGATGAAACTGATCTTAGTTTGAACATCAGTTATATGGATTCTAACCAAACCTCTCCAAGGAATGGAAAGAAGTTCGCCTTTTGGTCACCTGAAATAGGTTTAGAGACGATACAAAAACCACTTGAACAGTTTGTTATGTGGGTTGTGGATAGCTATTTATCTTGCAAGGCAGTTGTTCGTCATCCATCATAGCGCGTTCTTCAGTGTATCTACTGTTAAATCTTACGATTTCAGGAGAAAAGAGATACGGAGAGACTGGCAAGGAAGAGAACATGGACAGAAAAGAGATAGAAGAAAGGGTAACATCGTCTTTTCATTAATATACTAGTGGCTACTTTTTAAAAATACTGGATAAAAAGTAAATACCACTTTAAAAAGTGGCTACCCCACGCAATTTTTACACTGTTGGAAGATATTTGGGCTGCCATTGCTCCAAGGAGTTGGGCTTATAAAACTGGAAATGCAGTAGCCGGTTGGATTTACTATTTATTTTTGAGAAATTTTCAGAAACCACTATTGTTTAGTGGTTATTAACTTGTTATTATAGCTACCATTTACTTAATTACTTCCTATAGTTATCTTTTCAGTTGTTATGGAATGTATTCAATATATTCAAGCTATTGTATTCATGAATACGGTGGCAAAACTCGGCGAAAAAACAGGGCATGCCACCTATCATCCGCTGTATTCATATGTATTCGTAAGATGTGCCACACCTCCTTTATCTACCCCGAAAGGGAGTATAAGGGTGTTTTACCAATTAAAGTGACAATAATCGAAACGGGATTATTTATATCAAATTCAGAGTCTCCACCTGAGATAATTTATGGTGTCCCAAGTCACCAGTTTAAAATCCTGAGTCGAGGAAGTTTGACTCTTATTTATGGTCCGCGAAACATAGAAATCCGAGTAAGGAATTTTATTAACCCGGGAGAAGGTGTTAGGCATTCCTGGGTTCCGTGATTTTAGCACGGTCGCTGAACTATTATTATTGGCCTAATTATCTGATTAATTACATATTTTAAACTTATTGTGCATTTTTTACCCTTTGACCGCTTTTAATTATTTATGGAATTATTCTGGAACAAATTACGATTGTCATACACTTGTTTGTTTGGTACACATTGCGAATCGTGTCACGGGAACCGTACCCACGATCTGCAACATGTTTAATTATTAACATTATTAGTTGTTATGGCTAGGTCACATAAATGTACCCTCGGATTTGGAAATTACGTATCACAACTACGTCACGGGAACCATACCCGTAGCTATGATAATTTTATTATAGTGCGCCTAAAGCAAACTACGAATGTTCATAAGTTGTGTAATCCCTAATTCGATGATCGTGTGTGAAAAGGTCTGTGATTATGGAGCACTTTCGCTAAAAGTGATTTCATGCTCGTGTCCTTTTAACTTCCTATTTCAGGCATTCGACCAAGCCCAATCCTAAAACATGTAAACCATTTAATTACTAATAGCTCGGCCTTCCACCATTACCCACGGCCCCAATATCCATAATTTAAACAATCTCACATCTAACAACACTAATTAGCAAAGGAAATCATCTGACAGAAGACATCAAGCATTCATAAAAGATAAGAACTAAAGGAAACTAGAATATTAATAAATACAATGTAAGGAAATGTGAATCAAAACCACTAGGAAGAGTCATTTAAAGATCACTACCCCACCCTGACTCTCACAACTCAACTCCCTATTCTAACATGTAATTGTGCACCAACCAAACCAATAATTATCAAACTATTCCAACGGAGATGATTTATGTATTCAAACACGATACAACAATCAAGTGAAACTAGTCACATAGGAGCATCAAGCAGAATAACAGAAAGCACGATGATTTCACGAAACTTCACCCATTTTTTACCCAAAGCTTGCCAAACTTGTCTGCTAAAAAAATCCATTACCCCACACGATTAAAGATTCCCTCATAAACTCAACTAAGATTAAGAATATTACCAGGGAACGTTAAGTGAGGATAATGATCTTTAGAATATAATACCATTTCAGCGCTAAAATCATGGGGTGACAATAACCAGCAGCCAAAAATCAGAAAGAGAAATCCATTAAACCCCAAACTACATCTGATTAGCCTATCTTAAAATGGCTCCCTTTATGGCTTTGATTCATAATACATATAAGAGTAGAAGGAAGAAGTGAACCTGCTCGCAATCAAATACAACTAAATCCGGCAGCGAAAATCCACGACAAACAGCAGCCAAGCAACAGGAATTATCAATCACGAACGGACCTCGATCGGCGACGAACTCAGAATGACAAACGACGACCCTAAAATCTTGTTTCGTTTTCTGATTTTATCAATGGACCGACCATCAGAGGCGAACTCGAGCTCAATCGGAATTTGTATGTTCAGGTGTTGTTTTGGACTGACTTTCGGAAGAAGGGGTGGAGAAGTTATGTTGTTCTGGGAGTCGCGGCTGTGTTCTGGTTGTTGTGGTGGTCGTGAGTGAGTTGAAGAAGCAGCAGCGGCTGCTTGTTGGTTGTCGCTGGTCGTTGCTTGGGAAGGAGAAGGGTGTTTTGGGTGTGTAGCGTTGGAAGTTCAGGGGGTTCGAGGGTTTTTTGTTGTCGTGGGGTGTGGGTGGTCGATTTTCCGGCGATTTTTGAGAAGTTCACAAGGTGGCCCGCCGCTGGGTGCATGGAGGAGATGAGATGTTGAAGATGAAGAGAGCCGACGGGGCCTTTCTTGTAAAATACCACGGTCTAGCCAGAACTAACATTCAAAAATAGTTGAGTCATTTCATTAATTTACTGCAGCAAAGACCGGTCCAGCATAATATACTGGAGTTTGGTGTATCTGTGTATGAACTTCCAGCATATTATGCTGGATCGGTATACTCTGCTGGCTCGAGTATAATATACTAGAGGCTGGAGCACCGGTGCTCCAAACGCTAGTATATTATACTAGAACTCCAGTATATTATACCGGAGTATTTTTCCGGATTTTAAACAGTGTTTCTTTCATATTTATCTTTACATAAAAAGTGGCTAAATTTCGATAACTTTTAGAATTGTGGCTATTTTTGAATGGCCACTTGTAAATCAAGCCATTTTTGAATTTCTCCCGATCTTTTTTAAGTTATCCTTCTAGCTTATTATGTGAGTTTAAGGGTATTGGGCTTAGGGAATGGGTTAGAAGTTTGGGCCTTTATGACTAGATTTGCTTGAAATTAACCTAATTAACTAAAAATCTATCCATCTAACATCAAATCTTACCTATTAAATAGAAAAAAACAAAGATATAAATATTACAAAAAATATTAATTAGCCCTACTTAAGTAAAAATAATTATTATAATAAAACTAACCGTTAAAACAAAATTATTTTGGTATTTTCAAATGTCATATTAAAATAAAAATAAGGTACTATTTTTGTATTTATTATTTATTTTTTAGTTTTACGAAAGGTATATAAACTAAAAGCAACTAAAAAGAAATTATTATTTTTTTGCAATTTTTATTTTTGTGATAAAATAAAGTAGAAGAGTCAAAACTAATTGAAATAGCGATATTAGGCCTAAACTAAATATTTAAGCTAACAATATGTAAAATCTTGGGGAGGGTCAAAAATTACATGTCTACAAGATGTATTCATGAATACAGCGTAAAAATAGACCTCTCTAGTTGTTTAAAAACGGAAAGTGAATTAATTAATGGGATAGACTCCTAATATAACTCAACAAACTCAATTATAATATGCAAAATTATTAATCCAGTTAAGGAAAAGATTTCCCAGACGAAAAATACCCAAAAAACAAAGCAATATTCAGAGATTTAGTTCATCCTTTTTTTCGTGGTATATACTTACAACCTCTTCACCAACTTGGTGTATCCAACTGTATGAATATGTATTCTGGCTAGTTATATAATGTATTCATGGTAGAATTTTAAAAAATACAGTATGTATAATGTTGTATTCATTATATATATTTTCCTTCATGCTATGTTTCTCTAACAAAATCTTAATACATCTAAAAGTCACTATCTACAATCTATATACATTTCATTAGTTGTATTCATTGATTTTCTATTTTTATTGAGAGTATTTTATTGTATTTTATTGTATTGTTATTTTAAATACAAATGGATACAGTTAGGTTGAAAATGCAGATGAATACAGTTAGAATTAATAATGTATTTAAAAATGTTGTTTTATGAACTCAAATACATATAAATGCATCCAAATACAACAGTAAAAAATGAATTGATTTTGGAACCCAGTACTTAGGCATTTTCGATCTACTAAAGTTCATAATATCTTCCGCCAACTGTTATTGGTCTGTTTTCTTCAAATCAGGCTTTACTGTCACGAATGCACATGGCGACTCGCCCTACTGCTCATCGGGCCTTGCCGCTACAGATACCTCTAGTATTGCTGGATGTAGATATAGGATATTCTCGACCTCGACACTACTTATGTTTTCACCACCAGAAATGATGATGTCCGTTGATATGTCTTTGATTTCTATATATCTGTCGGGATGCTTAACTACTAGATCACCAGAGTGACACCAGCCTCCAGCAAAAGCATCGTCATTAGCTTTAACAATCAAAAACATTATCTAAGGTTTAATAAGGAGGTAGTTTTATATAAAGAATGAGAGAAAAATATTAGAGAGAGTGATTAATGGCTTAATGGTAGGAAGTAACCATAAATATATATTTTGCTATAAAAATTAAAAGGTAGCTATAGAAAATAATATATTAAAAGGGCTTTTATTTATAATAGATAGGGTGTAAAGCTTTTCTATAGGAGGTAAAATTTCCTTTATTTTTCCTAGACGGTATATAATTGACACTGTATAACAATGTTTAAGTATAATTGGCATTTTATTGGCCTTAAATTTAGTTTGGCACTAGTAGCCCAAAAAAATTGGCATTAAATAACCTAATCCCAACAGACACGATTATATAACCCCTCAAATATAAGGGGGATTTTTAAGATTTTGTCCACCCTTCACGCTTGCACGATGCATCCCTTCAGACGCGTAACTACCCAGTCGATTAAAATAAAAACAAATGCAGAAACTATATAACCTTCACAAATCAAAAAGGGTGCAAAGTTTTTTTAACAATCATGGTAGTTGACTATCAAATTTCAGAATTCATATTCAATAATTAGTGCTTTCTTCAAAAACAAATTTCTTAATTTTTGTAGTTCAAAGAAATCGGTTGAAGAAGGTTTTCAATCTCTATATAGAAGAACAGATTCAATGAATACTTTGCCAATTTTGATACAATACGGGGGACACTAGGATAGCAACAACTGATTTATGGATAATTCAATTGAAGGCGTGGTAACTGGTACAGATATTAAATTTGGTTATATTGTTTCTACGCTTTCAAAACAATTGATGGTTGACACCACAATTAATTTGCTTGAAATCAAGTACGAATGTGATGATGATTCACCACCAATGATGATACAGAATAATATGGGATTGCGTGTATATATCGAGTTGAAGAAGAAAAATTATGCGTTTAATGAATATCCACTGTGTTTAACAGTGAAAGAGATAGATATGCACGCTTTTAATTGAACGAGAAAAATTCATCCGTCTTCCTACAAATTGCTAGTACATATGATATACATAATAGTGATACACTGCAGTTGATTGGGTTTGATAACGTAGATGATTCTAAAGTTGTAGATTTTGATAAAACTCCAATAATAGATGATCCTCTAACTAGTACTGTTGTGGAAGGCCAACTTTACAAGGACAAGGAGACACTAATGATGGTGTTGAAAAACTATGTTATTCAAAAACGAAATTTAGTTTAAGGTTGATCGATCAAGTCCATCAAGGTATGATTGTATATCTAACTTTAATAATTGTATACAATCGTGAATTTTTTACATTAATGATGGTCGATAGTTTATTTAAATTTATTTACTATTGTGTAAATTTGGATGTTGTTAGATAGTGCCTGGTATGTGTCAATGACCGTTGTACGTGGTTTTTCAAGTCTTCATCTCTAAACAAGTCAAAAATATTTAGGATTAGAAAATTCAGTAAGGATCACACATGTTCAGCGAGGGATAGATTGTTTACACAATGTGTAACTACTGCTCCTGTTATTAGAAGAATTATTTGTGATAAATATGTTGATCCTAAGATAATATACACTACAAAGGACATAATGAAAGACATGAAAAAATATTATGGTATTAACTTAAGCTACTGGAAGGCAAATAGATCAAAGCAAAAGGCACTTTAGTTTTTGAGAGGAGACCCAAGTGAGTCGTATGCAAAGTTGCCGAGCTACTTATATATGTTGATGCATTCTAACCCCTGGTCAGTTGTGAGTTTGAGAAAATCAAATGAAGGACACTTCATGTATGCTTTTGCCCCATTATATGCATCAATTAAGGGATGAGAATTTTACAAATCTGTTGTTGTGGTTGATGGAAGATTCCTTAAAGCAACATATAGAGGAACGTTACTCACAGCTTGCTCGCAAAATGCTGGAGGTTTATTTTAGAAAAGCTCTATTATATTTCATTATCACATTCATGTATATCCATGTATCACTTTGTACATCAAAGTTTACTTGTATGTATAAATGTTCATATTATGTGTATATCCATTTATACTTATATTTAGTGTATATTTGTGCATATTGATTACACAACCCTAGGTATTTAATCTCTCCTCCCCCATCCAACGCATGTATGTTATTGTAAAATATTACATATTGATGTGCGTATACTGGACACTTAATAAATAGTATATATTTATAATAAACACTTTGTTGAATAAATATAATTAATATATTGTGAACATGCAAGATTTTACCTCTTGCATATATAATTGTTGATTCGGAGAACGATGCCTCATGGGGGTGATTTTTCGAAAGGTTCAAAGAAGCATTCAGTGACAGAGATGGCTTGTGCATTGTATCGGACAGGAATGAAAGCATAGCGAAGGCAGCTTCAATATTGTATCTACAAGTTTCTCATTGTGTTTATATATGGCATCTATGGAATAACATAAAAGACAGATATAAGAGGAGCCAAGAAGAGCTAAGAGAGATATTTTTTGCTACGGCAAGAGTATATACTGTTCAAGAGTTTAATCACCATATGATAGAGATGGAACAAATATATGGAAGAGTGAAGGATTACTTATTTGATATTGGGTATCACATGTAGTGTAGAGCACATGCAAAAGTCAATAGAACAATGAAAATGACTTCCAACATTGTAGAGTCATTAAATTCAGCAACTAAGGAAGCGAGGGAACTTCCTGTACAACAATTACTAGAAGAAATTCGAATTTTGATCAAGAGGTGGAACTACACAAATAGAAATATTGCACAAGCGACATTTACAAAGCTTACCATAAAATACAATGTTATATTGGATGAAAATCTTGAGGCATCACATCATATGATGGTATGTTTATATTATATAACATGTTCTTTATTTCATATTCATGTTTGTTTACAGAAACACTCAATAGGGTTAATCTTTTGTATTAGTTACATAAAGTCTTGACTAATATTGCTTTTCTACAAAATATAGGTGAGACTATCAACTGAAAACTTACACTCAGTTATTGACAATTGGAGGTTGTTCATCGTTTGCCTTAGGAAAGTACATATAGTTGTAGAAGGTTTCAGTTAGATCAAATCCCATGTCTGCATGCGTGGGCGGTTTTGAGGTCAAAAAACTTGGAGGGTGAAGATTACTGCTCTATGTACTACT